TGGGATGGGGAAGAGAAGGGGGCTGGGGGAAGCGGGGGTTGGGGGAAGAGGCAGTGAGGACAAAGGGGATGGGATGGGGAAGAGAAGGGGCTGGGGGAAGTGGGGGCAGGGGGGAAGCTGGAGCCCAGCATGTGGCATCCCCTTGGCAGAAGCTGGGGGTCCCATTGAACCCTCACCCTGACAAGCCCTACCTCCCCTGCATCTGTACCTCCCTGATGAGCCCCCCAGACACCCTCCCCACTGAGCCCCAACCACCTGCACCTGGACCCCCACCCAAATGAACCCCACCTCCCCTGCACCTAGACCCCCCCCTGCTGAGCCCCAAACATCTTCACCTGGATCCCCTGCAGAGTCCCATTGCCCCTGCACCTGGAACCCCGCAATGAGCTTCTGTGCATCCAGATCTCCCACTGAGCCGCCTGCACCCAGACTGCCCCACAGAGAACTCTCTTACCCCCACCTGGCTGGATCCCCCCACACTAAGTCCCTCTGCACTTGGATCCTGCTGCCGGGCTGAGCCTGCTCACCCACACCTGGTGTGCCTGGCACATGGGGGCAGAGCCCCAGGGTGTTTCTGGGGCAGGCCTGGCCCTTGCCCTGTGTCAGGGTTGGGTGCTGCCTCACTGCCGCATTCCTGTCCCAGGGTGGGGTGGGAGGAGGCTGCAGGGTGATCTCCCACCTCCATGCAACCAGTGGCCTGTGCTCCCCACTGCCATGTTGGAGCCTCCACATTTATTTATTGACAAATAAAATTTGCAGAATTTTAAAATATTGTGCACAGAATTTTTAATGTTTTGGTGCAGAATCCCCTCAGGAATATGGGGTGCTGTGCAGCTGTGATGGTGGGACTGTGAGGAAGGTGGTGGGCAGTGGGGAGGTCTATGGGCGGGGGGCACAGGGCGAGCAGTGTGGTGTGCAGGGTGCTGTGCAGTTGTGGTGGGAGGCCAGCGGGGGAGGTCTCTAGGAGGGGTGGGGGCTGGGCATAGAGATCTGCGGTGGAGGTCTCTGGGCGAGGGGACGCTGGGCATAAGGGTGGGGCACTGGGCAGGGGGGCGGTGTGGTGCGGACCTGCCCTCAAGGGGAAGGGGCTGGCAGCACAGGGCTGGGCAGGCCAGTGTGCGTCTGGCAGCTGCAGGTTTGTAAACAGCGCCCTCCTGCTGGGCTGCGCAGAGCGGGGCTGCTCCCGCCGCGCTGTGCCTCATTGCCCCCAGCCCGCCCTTCACTCTGGAGACTGACCATCCCGCCCCCCAGCACCTTGCCCCCCGGGGGCCCACAAATATGTTTGGCGCCGGGCCCACAAAAAGTTATTCCGCCCCTGAATGTATGAGGACCAAAATCACAGAGTCACACGGACAGCAACTGCCAGATTCCGAGTTTACATCTGGCAAGAGGCACTTGTATCTGCTGCAGGGGCCCCAGGTTTCAAACTTGGGAGGCCCAATTCTTATCCCACTTAGCCCGGTAGGAATCTAGGAGCAGCTTGACTGAAGTCCATGGAGTTTGCATTGGTGTAAAATAGGTTTGAGGAGAGAATCAGGCCCTCCCCCCGGTTACCCATAGCACAAGAGCTGCAGAATTCCACACTTCTTCGGTCACTAACGAAATCAGTGGAGTCTGAGTTTAGATCGAAGCTTCTCTGAGGCCTGGGAGTGCACAGATTATCTCTACTCAAACAGCGCGCAGAAAAGGAAGCAGACTATATCCGTACCTTCCACCAGGGCACTGTTCAGCATCCTCATAAAGTCAATGTCCGTGAATGATCTGGCAAGCCGGTTCATCCCCCTTCTTGTCTCCCCTTGAGGCACCTCTGCAGCCCACCTTAAGGGCACTGAGTCGACTTCGTCAATGGCCTTCCAATAGCTGTCCAACTCCGGCAGAGAACGATTCCTGGGGAAGGGACAAGGGCTGGAGTCATAGAAGGAGCTTTGTGGGGCAACGAAGCAGTGATTTGAACAGCTAGAAAACAAGACACATCCCCTCACTTCTCTTGTGTGTGTGCTCATTCCGCTGCCTATGTGAGCTCCAACTAAATTTAATCTAGACATGCCCCAAGCCTCCACTATTTAGAGCCTTCCTTGCCTTTGAAATCCACAGGGACAACTGACCTTCATCCGCAACAGCCTGCAGGGCTGAGACTGTCCCAGAGATGGGCCAGCAGAGCACCTTAACCTCTGCCACCAGGGGACCAGGATGACTGTGATCACTGCAAAGCTAACTAGCTACCCCGGTTAACCCTTTCATAGAATCCAAGACCAGAAGGGACCATTGTGAGCCTCTAGTCTGAGCTCCTGGATCACACAGGCCAGAGAACTGCACCATTTGCTGCTGCTGCAGAGTGTTTCTGAGCATAGAGCCTCGAGTCTTCCTAAGACCCCTTTACTGCTCCTAAACCTTCCACATTAGGCAACAGCGTAGCATCAGTCTGGGGACCCCTTTGCAGGATAAGTGGGCAGCTCCTTCAGACTGGGCCCTGGTTCTGGTTCCTGGGAGGATGGGAATCTGCACATCGTGCTCTGTTGCTCTGGATTCTGATCTAGTCACGGAACCATTTGTTTCTGTACTCGTGGCTCTTTCGTTACTGTTAGTGTCACCTTGTAAGTCTAGCGCAAAGACAATCCCATGAACTCCCAGGGCATTGCCAAGCACTCGCAGACTGGAAGGAACAGATAAGACCCTTCATGTAGCAGAGACAGCTACAAACAGTGGAGACCGCCCAAGGCACATGAAAGGCCTGAGCAAAACTGTGAGAGTCGAGGGAATTCCCTGATTGCAAACACAAGGGCTAGGTTACTGGTTTTGCAGCCTGTGTGTAAGGCTAGGTCTACACTACAGGGGGGTCGACCTAAGATACGCAACTTCAGCTACGTGAATAGCGTAGCTGAAGTGGCATATTTTAGGTCGACTTACCTGGCTGTGAGGACGGCGGCAAGTCGACCGCTGCCGCGCCGCCGTCGACTCTGCTACCGCCTCTTGCCGCGGTGGATTTCCGGAGTCGACGGTAGAGCCATCAGGGATCGATTTTATCGTGTCTTCACTAGACGCGGTAAGTCGATCCCCGATAGACGGATTGCTACCCGCCGGATCGGCAGGTAGTGAAGACGTGCCCTAAGGCTTGTCTAATTCCTGAAAGTGGATTAAGCTAAACTGGAACAAGGCACTCATTCTGGAATAAGAGTGTCCTCATATGGAGTTAATCAGGAATAGTTATTGCACTTTAAATTCACACCCTACCTTAATCTGAATTAACTTTCAAGTGTAGACAAGCCCATTCTTTTGTAATAAAGGGACTGCTCAGTGCACAAGAAGCATACCTAATAACTAAACAGGAAGTAAGTGAGGAATGGAGTGTAACTGTGCTCTGACTAACCCAGCAAACCCCTTGATGACCACTTCACTACACCCTTCAAGGCAGAAAGCCTGGAGAAGCAGTCATAAGCGTGATTCTGAGAAGAAGCAGAGAGCAGAGCTTCTTGGGCACAGAGCTCACTGGAGGGGCAGATTTGGGAATTTCTCAGCAAGGAAGCTGCCTGCTTCCTTTTGTTTCTGTGGTGTTCAGGGAAACAGGAGTTTGGGTCCATTCTTTGAAAATATCCCAAATTACACCAAAGAATATCCTGACTCGTATCATCCATTGCTCATCTTAACAGAAACAGTCCTGCATGCCCCCGAATATTGGCTACCATTCATGCCAAAGGGAGAACATTATTATTTATTGTGGTAGCACCCAGAAGCCCTCCTTGGGAGTTGTCATGTGGGTGCTATACACACACATCAGGCCCTTCCCTGAAGCTAAATCAGAAATCACCCGGGATATCGAATCTTACAATCATCTTGAAATTAAATTTGGCTCTTTACCTCCATCTGGCAGGGACAGTCAACTTCATGGTGGTAACTATGGGGGGAAAAAAACAGACAAGCCACAGCACGATCCGTGCTAGCCTTGGTGAAATTGGCAATAAAAAAAGATGGTTTATTCTTCAAGGCTTTATCCATGTGGATCAAATGGGATCTACACATAGTGGGTCTCAAAGAAGAACCACAGTGACTGTGATATAAGTAACTGTTCTTTTTATCATCCAGACATTCGGGACATTTGAATGGAGTCATCATTATTCCAGCACTGGAATGGGTTACCTGGGGAGGTGGTGGAATCTCCTTCCTTAGAGGTTTTTAAGGTCAGGCTTGACAAAGCCCTGGCTGGGATGATTTAGTTGGGGATTGGTCCTGCTTTGAGCAGGGGGTTGGATTAGATACCTCCTGAGGTCCCTTCCAACCCTGATATTCTATGATTCTATGATTGAGCACTGACAGGGAGCTCGTTTCTGGACAAGACCAAATGGAGACAACTACCTGTCTAGACAAGAATGATACAAAGATGGCAGAGTGCCCTGAGAAGGCGGGCTTCCTGTGGGTGTGATGGGAAGAGCTTGGCTCTTCCCAGTCTGTAGCCGTAGGGCCTTCAGTCACTCATCATGCCCCAGTGTATTAAGGAGAGGCAATTTAACCTTAACCACAAGGCTCAAATTGGTGGCGTTTCCTTGTTGGACTCATGAAACCAAACTACCCCAATTAATTGAGTACCACTTCATCGGCGTTCCACCCACATCACCCAAGTGGGATTTGACCATCGACTGCTACAGCGGCTAATTGGCGTGCTCATCTAATGGTGCGCACAGCAACACAATTCCCATCAAAGGCAACGGGTCCCCTTAATTCCTGTCTGTCCCTGGGTGAAGGCTGTTTATAGACTCTACGCACAACATCTGCTCATGGATGCAATGCCAGATCCTAATCACAACTGCACCAGTGTAAATCCAGAGTGGCACCAATGAAGCCCATGGAATTACTCCAGCCTCACCTTAACCGAACTAAGAATCCGGCCCATAAACTCCTCTCTAAAGGCAGCCCAGCAACGATAGGGCAGACCTGAACCTGCAGTTTCTGAATGAGTAGGAACCAGTAATTACCTGTCACATCCTATCAGCTCAGTGAGCCGGTCGAATACTCTGGCCATGGCTGCTCCTGGAAGAGGAAAAACATTAGACTCAGCTCTAGGTATAATATTCCCATCTGAACAAGCTCCATCTAGTCCTCCTCATGCTATTCGGGAGCCAGCCCAGCAGGAAAACCTCCTCTAGTCGATTGGGAGCTACCAGACAGGCAACACTAAGTAACACTGCTATACCTAGAAATCAGGCTGTTCTCTGTTTTAACCTTTCAGTGGGAAACTTCCTCAAAAGACTGCACCACACAGACAACCAAGGGAGAAGAAAGGAAGAGGCCGCTGTCTGACGCACAGATGACCCAGCTGAAGGGCACCAAGGTAGAGAAATGTGATGACAATACCTGCGTCTGCACAACTTCTTCATGCAATTCAGGGTGTCTTCTGCTCCCTGTGGTTCTGAATGATTTCTTTGGAGTATGTCATCCAGCTTTATAGTGTCTCTAAAACTGGGAAATTCCCGGGGCTCAGTCTCTGACGCAATCTCTCAGATTGCCTAATCCAAATGGGGCTGGATCTCCCAGTCTATTCCACAAGGTCGAATCCAGGGCCATCCTTAGGATTTATGGGGCCCTATGCACTAGCGTAGCTGCAGGGGAGCAGGGGAAGCGGCCGCTCCCCCACTGAGCACATATCCAAAAGTGGCGCCTTAGGCGCCGACTCGTGGGTGCTCCAAAATTTGGTGGGTGGGTGCAGAGCTGCGGGTGGCCGTGCCTGCAGACGGTCAATGTAAACACTGTCTCGCGGCCCGCCAGCAGATTACCCTGACTGGTCGCGTACGGCTCGCGGGCCACAGGTTGCCCACCACTGGTCTGGGCCCTTCCTGGAGGGATGCACTCAAGGAGCAGTGATGGGAAACTGCATCTCCACACCCTTTCCTTGTGGAGTCCCACCTGGATCAGTTCTCTCTCTGGTCCTATTCAACCTCTGCATGCAGCCATTAGGTGGCCTGGTCGGACGACGTGGACTCAGGTACCAGCAATATGCAGATGACACACAGCCCCACCTATCCGTCACCACATACAACCACACTGCTACCATCACGACGGATAAGATCAACTCCTGGCTGCAGAACAGCTGTCTGCAGCAAGGGAGAGGTGATACAGCTGAGGAGTTTGCAGCCACTGTGCAAGCTTCCTTGGGTGGAAGGTTCACACCCACAATTGGTCAGTTCAGTCCACAGTCTAAGAGGCCCGTGGATTCCTCGCTGATGCTCAGCTCTCACATCACTGCAGCTGTGAGTAATACGTTACCATTCCCAACTGTCTAGGAGACTCTATCCCATCTTGGTGGACCATGATCTGGCCTCAGTTCTTCACATCTTCATCACCTCTTGGCTGGACTACAACCAGTGGTGCAAGTAGAAATAATTTCTTGCTGGTACACTGCACTCATGGGAGGGACACAAGGGGGGGGCACATGATCTCCCCACATGACCCCCCACGTGACTCCTACCCTCCCCACCCTACCACCAGTCCGGGGCCTCTGCACTTTCCCCATCCCCTCCCCATGATCCACATCCATCTCAGGTTACCTGGGGGCTCTGTCCTCCTCCTGCTGTGCAGGAGACTTCTGCTGTACAGACCCCAGGGAGGAGGACTCAGGAAATGCAGCTGCATGGAAGGGCTGGGGGTGGGCCCCTCCTGTGTTTTTCCAGTATGCCGTGCTAGCTATAAATATCTTACTGCTATGGTGTACCGTACCACCATACTTGCACCCAGGGCTGTCCCTAGGGGGGTGCAGGGTCTGGGGCGGAAGTAACAGATTCGTCTCTTC